TGGGTGACAGCACTCTGGGAACGCCTTGACAGAGGCTTTGTTCCACTGAAATAAAAGAAAATCGAGCTACAAAGGGAAACCTCAGGTAGCTTTTAGCAGGGGCTCAGCTGCCTGAGGCAGAGTGTGTTTAAGCTGGAGGCAGTTGTCACAGGAGCAGAAGGGGGAGCTGCCTGCCGTCCCCCTCCCACCCCCCTTGCCCCTGTGATCAAGTTTACTCAAGGAAAAGGCTCTTCCAAATAGCCGCAAAGGAGGAAATCAATGAAAATTGATAGAGAAACGTAGAGCAGCTCTCCGCCGGGGGGTGTGTGTGTGTGTGTGTGTGTGTGTGTGTGTGTGTGTGTGTGCGCGCACGCACGCGTGTGTGCAGCAAAAGCATGCTGCCTGGACCCAGGCTGACCTGCCCAGGGCCAGGAAGGCCAGGGGCTGGGAGTCACTCTAGCCGAGCTCTAGAAGGGTGCTGGTGGCTGGGGGAGGGGCGGCAGCCAAGTCTCACTCGAGTTAAGAGAGAGATTAATATATTCAATCCGCTCGGAGTAATTGAGGGAACAATCGGAGTGTTTTTCTAAAGCCCATAAAACTGCCTCATTTGCAAGAAAGAGCTGACCTGCTCCAATCCTCCGTATTTGATGGAGCTCAGGAGGTGAGGGAGGAGGAGGGGCGACAGTGGGGTCCCTGTACAGAGGGACTAGGGACATTAGCCTGGGAGGGGGCCAGCAGGCCCGGTCTAACCTGTTCTCACCTTTCCCACCTCTTAGTAGCAGCCCGAGCCCTGCCTTTTGGAGCCTTTGTTTCCCCACCTGTGAAATGGGTCATGGGCGTCCTCCTCCGACAGGAAAGTGGGAGTAGCAGAAGTGGAGGTTTCTCTAGGTGAGGAACACCACAGGTTTGGCACTGAGGCGAAGGGGCTTGAGCAAAGAGGTGCCCAGCTCCCCAGCCAGGCCAGCTCCCCACCCCCACCCTGAGATGAACCGGGCGGTAAAGTTAATGAAATCCACATTGTGCGCCTATCTCCGCTTGAACTATTTTTAGTCTCCAGGGCAATAGAAACCTCGTGTGCAATAGCGAGCAATAAAAGGCACAATGAATTTAAAGGAGTAAAGAGGAAAGGAGAGTGAAGACGTGGAGTGCGCACTGGCCAGAGGGGAGCCGCTGGGGCCGCTGGGGCCACTGGGGCCGGGAGTGTGCAGGCCTGGAGCTCCGAATGGGGACCGGAGGGGGTGGGGGCGGGGAGGAGGGAAAGGAAAGGGGGAGAGGGACTGGGAGGGAGGGAACAAAGGGAGACAGTGGAGCCAGAGGTTTAGGGACAGAGGGCAGAGGGGCCTGACCAGCCGCTGCCAGCTCCCCTCCCCTCCATGGCTCCTTAACGAAAGCCCCCCGCCTGTTGGTGCCAAAGCCACAATCAGAAGCCACAGGCTGCGAGCCAGGTGCTCAGCATTTGGTGATTGCTTTATTAGCTTTTTCTTCTTTTTCCCCCTCCAGGGCAAAAAGAAAAAAAATGGTGTTTTAAATGGAAAGACTACGAAAAAAAGACCCTTGAAAGCGTCATTTAAAAGGCTCCTGGGGAACGGAATAGTTTCCATGAAACAAAACTGCGATTGTTTGGAAGAGGTAAATGCAGGGCAGGGGTGGGGGAGGGAGCCCCCCCCCCCGCGCCCTCCCCTCCCCAGCTCCCGCACCAGTGGGAGGATGCTCGCTTGCAGAGTGAAGGAGCCCCCAGGATGGCTCCCAGAGCTACAAGCAAGGCGTTTTTAAGTTCATGTTTCCAGAAATTTCATCACTGGGAATTTCCAGCCCAAGGTTTCTCTCTTAAACAGCTCTGCCTGTGGGAGTTTGTCCTCAAGCCTTCAGGATCTCCTAGGAGGGGTCGAGCGAGGTGCCAGGAGGGATGTGGTCCCGGAGGGCTGTGGTGTCCTCCCCCTGCCCTCCAACCCCCAGGAGGTGTCGCTCCCCCTTAAAAGAATTGAGCCGGAGTCACCACCTGACTGTGGCCTGCACCTTGCTGCTTTCCTCACCTCCGGGACACCCTCTGCCCAGCCCTGGACAGACCACCCTCATTCTGGTCAGATAAACTCCCTCTTACTCTGGGGGAGGGCGGGCCTTGGGGCGCTGGGGTGGCACAGCCATGTGGTCTTAAACCTGCCAAGAGGATAAGGAGGTAGCGTCAGGGACAGGATGAGCCTGGTGGAATTCTGCCCGGAAAGGAAGCCACTGAGCACCCCAAGCAGCTGAGGGCAGGAAACCTGGAGCTAGCTTGGTCCCATGCACGGAAAACTACCCTCCCGCCCCACCGTGGCCTCCTCCTGTGCACCCCGGTCCCCCATCCGTGCGTCAGGGGCCTAGGGAGTGATCTCTCTCCTGGAGTCGGGCTATACCCGCTGGAAATATTCGCGGGGGCTATGCCCTCACCCCTCAACACACACACACACACACACACACACACACACACACACACACACGGGGAAACTTGAGGACTGAAGAAGGGAAGGTGTTCACTGCCCACATGATGTTAGTGTGGGGGGATTGACTGTCCTGGTGGAGTCTCAGGATTGTGGAAATGCTGTGGCCCGCACTGGTGTGTCATTTAGTGCCGTGGCTGAGGAGCAGAGTGGTTCAGATTCAAAGTCAGTCACTAACACTCCCTTGGAGCCCCGCCTCCTCCTGCCTACTCACTCTTGACATTGCATTCCCAACCCCCTGCCCTCTGCTCCCCACTTGTCCCATGACCATCATCAGTTCCGGTTTAAAAACTGACACACAAGTTGGAGAACAGTGGATTCAATGGTTGAAATGCCTGATGCAGACAGGACTGAAGATAGTTTGGAAGGAACAAAATCAATGCAGAGAAGGCTTCCTGGAGGAGGTGACCTTGAGCTCAGAAATCCATTCCTGGCCCTGAACTGAATGCAATGAATAAAGTCTCCTCTCTCCATCCTTCCGGATCACTGCCTCTTCTCACCACCTCACCTTATCCCCCTTTCAGCTGTTTCTCTCCTCTTCAGTTGAGAGCCCAAGAGAGCTGGGTGAAGTCCTTCCCTCCTGGGCTCCGTTTTCCCCAACTGCTAAGAGGGGAGGGAGGAGGGTTTCAAGGGTCCCTGTGGTTCTAGGCCACAACCGCTTCCCCAGCCCCAGTCTTGCCGCTGTCCTTCCTGCTGTGTCTTTGAGCTTCCAAGTCCCAGCTCCAGAAAGGTGCCCACCTTCCTTGTCCACTTGAGCTGAGAGAAGGCAGCCCCTCTATCCTCTGAACGACCCCGTGGCATTGTCTGTCCCCCATCGGTTTCCTGGCCTTGTTGTCAGGGTTGTGATTGCTGACCCCCCAGGAGGGAAGCTATTTTCCTCTCCCTTGAAAGCCATTTTCTTGTCTTGGTAGAAGCAGACATCTGACACTTTAAGAGGGAGAACGGCAGGAAGATGATGGCATTAAATAACAGAAATTAGAGCTGCCGAGGATGGCTCCGCCACCCAAGGCCCCCCTTCCCTGCAGCCTGCAAGCTGTCTGCGGGGCCTTGGCTCAGGCTGGTCACAGAGAGCAGGGGACCGCTTCTCCTTGCGCTCTGAGCCTCTGGTGTGTGTATCTAGCCCTGTGACAAACTAGGACAGAGGGGCCAGGGCCCCAAAGTCATGGAGCTTGCAGCCTGAGGCAGTGGAATGTCACATAGGAACCCAGAGACGCTCCAACTCCCTCACAAGCGGGGTTGTCAGCCCCCAGCATACAGTAGGTGGTCAAAAGTATTTGTTGATTTTTTAAAAAGTATTCGTTAATGGATTGACGGATGAATGAATGAATGAATGAACGAACAGAGGCCAAAGTGGTCCACGTAACAAGCTGAGACCTGGCAAGAGAAACCGGCCCCTGGGTCCCTTCCCAGTTCTCCTGGCCGTGCTGCCAGATTGCTATCTGAACCACCGTTCATGGTGTACCTTTCTCCCACAAGAACTTTCTCCCCATTTGCCTCCTTTCTCCTGCGGCCAGCTAAACCCTTTCCTTCGCCTCAGCCAGCTTATTCTTGTCCCCCCTCCTGGAATACCTTCCCCAGAGCCCGGAGCTAGCACCCCAAAATCTTACCCACCTAGTATAGGTTCTGACAGAGTCAGCACTTAACAAATGTCTGACGGATGAATGAATGAATGAAAGATTCATCTCAAATGACAGCTCTTCTGAGGAGCGTGACCTGCACACTCCCTCACCAGAGCGCCCCTTCCCGCACATGACCTACAGGACTATATAATGCTCACACTGTATCCGCTGTCTTCAAGCTAGGGTGGCACTGTGAGCTCCGGGACTGACCTAGCTTTGGATCCCACGCACCAGTGTAAAGTTCCCCAGGAAATATCATTGGTATTAAATGGAACCAAGCATCCTGGGGCATGATCCTGTTTCACTGCCTAGGAAATGGGCAGCTACTTGCTCTATTAGCTTCCACCTGTGTTGGCTTCGAGGCTCACCAAACACACGGCCTGGCTGCAGAACACAACCACACCGGGAAACCCTCCTTCAGCTTGGACAAGGACAGGAGTCTCTTACTTGGGTCTGAGGCTGCCAGGGTCCCGATTCGGGGCTGAGTCCCTCCTGGCCATGGTGGGAGCTGGAGCGTTTGGAGGTGGGTGCACACAGACTTCTGTCTCGTGGTCACTTCGGCCTCCCTCAAAACATGGTGACAATGCATGAGACTGTGTTTGGGGACTAAAGGCTCTCGGGGGACACTCACCCATTGGGCAAAAAAAACTCTACCCAGTGGTGTCCCTGCTCTGTGGGCTTTGCTCCATATTTCTGTCACCCCCTGGGACTCCCTGCCTCCATTCTCAGACTGCAGGTTCTCCAGAACTGAATGAGGCCACCCTAGGAAGGTCTGCTGCTCTGCTCAGTGAGGATTTGGGGACAGCCAGGCTTATCAGAGACTCTGGATCTGGGGGCCGGTGTGTGGGGGGGTGGTGGTGATGCCAGAACCTGAGCCGGTCCCAGGGAACACCCACCTGCAGCCCGGGCAGCTGGGGCTCTGGGCCTGGTGACACGGGTCCTGGGGGGCCGGCCCCCGGGGAGCAGTTGGGGGCTGGAGGCTGAGGGCCCCGGTGCTCCCGGAAGGCTACGCTGTAGGCCAGGCCCCCGCAGTGGCGGGCCGTGGGGTCGGCGCTGGCACGCAGCAGGGCCAGGCTGCCGCAGTAGCAGTACAGGTCCTCGTGCTCCCGCGCCCACAGGTTCATGCGGGGTTGGTCCGGGCGCGGGAAGACCGGGAAGATGGCCTCGCCCACCCGCTGGGCGGGGCGTCCTGAGGCCCCGCCCAGCCGCAGCGCCTCCACCCGCAGCTGCGCGTCGTGCTGCCCGTCGTTCTTGCAGAAGCCTGGAGAGGGGAGGCGTGGGCTCAGGGGCCGTGTCTCGGGGCTCCCTGCCTCCCCCCGGGGGGAAGAATGATTGGTAGGGCCCTGGGCGGGGGAGGGGAAACCTAGGCAGCCGGCCTTCTGAGTGGGACTGGGCTTGGCTAAGCTTTCCCAGCGGATGACGGCTTTGACACCTCTCGGACCCCACCTCTGAGCCCTCCCTCTACCGATGTGGGGTTTGGGAGGGCTCTCAGCCGGTGACATGGTCCTGAGTATCACTACTTGGAGGGAAGAGTTCAACCTGTCCCTGATCTCTGGTCACCTGAAGGCCTGGGACTTGGTTTCCCCATTCCCTCACATCCCTCCTCCTCCTGGAAGCCTGCCTACGTGGCCTCGCAGTCGAGGCATGGATCTTCTGCTCCTTCTGGACCACTTAACTATTCTCTGTTGAGATTCCCGCCTCTCTACCTAATCTGGAAACTTCCCGAAGCCCAGATCCAGATCTCCACCTCTCCGTCCACCCCCATGCCCACAGTCCAGTGGTGCTCAAGCCTGGGCACCCAGGGCACTGGCTCCAATGTTACTCAGTGTGACAGCCGGTGGGACTGGCCCCAAACCTGCTGTGTACTCAGCTTTTGTAAATTTACAAAGCCATTCCTCATCTGTCCTTTTATTTCCTCCTCACCCGACCCACCCGTGTGACCAGCATCAGTGTCCCCCTGTCACACTGTAGGAGGCAGGGGCTCACGGAGGACCAGCATTTGCCCAAGATCACACAGACAGAGCTTTGGGATCCAGTCTAAAGTTCTGACCCTCCCAGTTGCCCTGAAGCTCCCTGGGGTCCCTGACAGGGGCTGGGGCAGGAGTTACAGGATCCTTCTCTTTCCCCAACCACCACCCTCACTTCATACCTTTGGGCAAAATAAAGACAAACTTGTTCCTGGTGAGGGCGAGGCTCTGGCCAGGATCCTGCTGCTCAATGACATCGGTGACAGCAGAGCAGGTAGGGAGGGGGTCCCCATTATTTACCTGCAACAGTACCCCAGCCCCAGATCCAGCCTGCAGGGGGTTCTCAGCTGTCAGCCGCAGGGCGTATCTGCCCTCCTCGTTAAATCCCACACTTAAGACTTCAAATTCTAGATCCAGTATCTTCTCCTCTGCCTTCAGCCTCTGGCTCTGCAGGGATGCGGGGACCCAGGGTTCAGGCCCCCTGAAGGCCATGAACTTTCCCGGGGACTGACCCCCAGGCTGAGCGCTGCCCCCTCCCTCCCAGAGCCCCAGCCTGGGCCCAGTCTGAAAGCCTGTACACTGGGCGCTCAGGGCCACACCCCACCCCTCTCTGTTTGTTTGAGAAGAAACCAGGTAACAAGCCAGGAAGCTGGGTCTGTCATGGGAGACAAAGGCCGCCACTGATCCCTCCCTTTTAGCATTTGTTCATTCAACAAATATTTATTGAGCATCTAATGTGTGCCAGGCATTATTTTAGGCATTTGGAATACAGCAGTGAAACAAATGAAGGTTCCTGCCCTCCTGAAGGTTCTCGTCTAGTGGGAGAGGGAGGTTGGGACAGATAGAAACAGGCACAAAATATAGAAAATGAATAAATTATAATATGTGTTAGAAGATGATAATGCTATGGGAAAATTAGTGCAGGGTCAGGGATGAGGAGTACTGGTGTGGGGAGCACAGGGTATGGGGTTCTCAGGACTTTCCATTTCTGGGAGAGCCTGTCTCTATATGCCTATTCATTCCCAAAAGTTGGTGAGTTGGGGGGGGTGGTCTCAAGGGAAGAGGGACAGTGCTTTTTCTCTGGGAGCATGGCCTTAGCACCTGCTTCTGGAACCAGTTTGCCTTTGTAATCAAAACTCACAATATCGGGCAGAGAACCCAGAGCTTCTTACACTAAAGAGTTGTCAAGCTGGAATCCATCCTTCCTGAGCCTGGGTCTTGCTGATACCCAACAGGAGAGGGAAAATTCTGAACATTCTTCAGTAAGAACCATCTCTACCATCACCATCACCACCAACATTATTACCACCACCATCATCACTATTACCATCACCATCATCACTATTACCATCACCATCATCACCATCACCACCATCTCTGTCACCACCAACATCATTACCATCACCTTTACCATCATCACCCCATCATCACCATCACCATTACCATTACCATCATCACCATCACCACCACCACTATCACCATCAACACCATCACTACCATCACCACCACCACTCTCGTCATCACCACCATCACAACCACTATCATCACTACCATCACTACCATCATTATATTACTATCACCATCACCACCATCACTATCATTGTCACCATCAACACCATCATCACCATCTTCACGTCCAGTATCATCATCACCATCATTTATGATACTCTTCATTGAGTGGCTACTGCATACCAGGCATACTACATGGCTCTGTGATGTAGATATAATCATTCCCATTTTACAGATGAAGAATCTGAGGCTAAGAGAATCTCAGATTACACAGCTAGTAAGAAGCTGAGCTGAGATCTGTACCTATCACTATACTTTCTCCTATTAAGTCTGTTCTAGGACTGGCTCGAAGATTGAAATTCATATTATCAGGGACTTCTGTATCCTAAAATTGACAAGTACAGTTCTGAGTCCAAAAAGCACATGTATGGGTAGCATAGATTTCATTCAAGAGTTCATTTGAAGTCACTTTGACTGGAATGCATTATTTCCACAAATAAGAGATAACCAGTCTAAAGATAGTATTGGCCAGCCCTGCTAAGAGTCCCAAAGTATGTGGTAGGCTTCCTCTGCAATGATTAGAATCCGGTTCCTTCAGATTCCCCCAAGGAGAAATTGCGGCAGAGGGTCTAGCCACCTGACTTGCACGTGAACTTGGGCAGATCCCTTTCCCTCTCTGGGTGTCAGTGGCTCCATTTGTATTATAAGTGTGAGTTGGGTGATAAGCCTTCCCATAGCTCTGGCGGGGTCTGCAACTCTGTAAGTCAGAGTGGGAAAGGCCAGAGTCTGGCCATCTGGGGAAGAGAGGCCACCTGGAAACCTTTGCCTCAACAGTTGGGCCTGACCAACCAACCTGGGTCTGGAAGCCATAGTTTGCCCCCGCTAGGTCTAAGGTCTTGGAGATCCAGTGATTCAGTTGAAGCAGCTCTCTTCCCTTGCATGTTTGAAGTGACCTCCAGAGATGTCACAAGATGGGAGTCACTCCCTTCTGCCCTGGGGCCAACCTCTGAGCTGCACCCAGCCCCATGACCCTATAAGCAGATCCCATGCACACAACAGTTCTTTCTAGTCGGTTTACCCTGAGCCGTGCCACACTTCCCTCTTCCTGCTTTCCTCTCTTCTTTCCCTCCTCCCACTTTCTATAAAAGGTCTGAGGTGACCATGTTGGTCTCAGCATGGTTGGAGGGCCCTGCACCCCTTCCACTTCCTGCTTCCCCTCCCCAACTCAGTCTCTAGGAAAGGCTCATTTTGTGTGTTTGTATGTGATAGTTATCCTTTAAAATTATGGTAAAATAGATATAATGTAAAACTTACCATCTTAATCATTTCTAGGTATGCAGTTCAGTAAATGTTAAGTACATTCACATTATTGCACAACCCATCTCCAGAACTCTTCTCATCTTATAAAACTGAAACTCTATACCTATGAAACAACTCCCTATTCCTCCCTCCCCCCAGCTCCTGGCAACCGGCCCTTCTACTTTCTGTCTTTATGAATGTGACTGACTGCTCCTCATCTAAGTGGAGTCACACAGTATTTGTCCTTTTGTGACTAGCTTATTTCACTTCACATAATGCCCTGGGGAGGCTTACTTTTGCCCTGGGCCCTGGGCCTGCCCTGCCCTGTCTCCCCTCCCCTGCCTTTGCTGGTGCTCTTCCTTCTGCCCCAACTGCCCAGCCACACCCGGTATCATCCTATGCAGCCTGCAGACTAGCTAAAAGCCTCTTCCTCTGGAACCAGGTCAGTGACTCCCTCCGCTGCCCCACTCTGCACCTTCCTCCTTCTGTCTCAAATGATGACTTGCCGTATGCGACTGAGTATTCCGTCAGGGATCATGTCTGTATGTCCAGGCCAGGGCCAAGCAAGGGATAGGTACCTGGGGGACCATTAAAGCATTATTGAAGGAATGAATGAGTGAGGGGATGAATGAATGAGTGAATGAATAAAAGGATAAATGAGTGGATGGACAAACCCGATCCAGCTTTTGCTTGTACAGAAAAGAATAAGAAATGGTTCTTTGGCTACTTCAACTGGATTCCATCTGAGAGAAGAGAAGACCATTTTGGGCTCTTGATTCATGCTTAGACTCAGAGATGCATCCTGGTGCCTCACTGGGCAGGCTGGTGCCTCGGAGACGGGGCAGGGTTAAGTGGCAGGGCAGGAGGTAGTGGTCTCTTTTTTGTTCTTTTTTCATCAAGATTTTTTTTAAATTTATTTATTTATTTTAGAGAGAGAGAGAGAGAGAGAGCAGAGGGACAGGGAGAAGAAGAGAAGCAGATTCCCACTGAGCACAGAGCCTGACACAGGGCTTGATCCCACGAACGCTGAGATCATGACCTGAGCCGAAATCATGAGTTGGGCACTTAACCAACTGAGCCACCCAGGCGCCCCAGGAGGTAGTGGTTCCTAATGCTCAGGCTTCTCTGGGCCTGGCCTCAGTTCCACAGAGAAAGTCTGGAAACCTCAGTGAATGTTAGCAGGTCAGGCCTGGATAGCGCTCCCACTTTATAGATGGAAAAACTGAGCCCAGGGTAGCAGACCAGGACTGGCTCCCTACTCCCTTTGCAATAATCTCTCTACTCCTAGCTGCCTCCCTGATTCAGCTTTCTGTGGTTTTCAAAAGACTGAACCTGCCGGAAGAGGCCTGGTTCCCGCAGAAGGAGTCAGGAAGGGGCAGGATGTGGGGTGAGGAGGGAGGGCAGCAGTGCTGACTTCCAAGCCACCCTCCTGGGCCCCAGCATGAAAGGCCTTAATGGAGCCCTCCAGGCTTCTTTCTTCTCTGGAAGAATGGCCACTCAGAGGCTGCTGGCTTTGTCTGGAAGAGCCTGGCCTGTAATTAGCCCATCCCAGAGGGCCCCTTCCTGCTTCCCACAATGGCTCCTTTTAGCCTCTTCTGTTGACACCTGTGGGCCCTCAGACCCCCTTCCTCATCCCCAAGGAGCCATCTCCAGCTCTCCCTCAACCCCTGGTCTCAGCTCAGAGCTGAATCCTCCCAGCAGGGACATCTGTGAGTTCCTGGATCCTCCTAATAGTGCTGGCACAATTATCCCCTTCTACAGACAGGGAAACAGAGGTTCAGAGAGATCAGGCAGGGGAGTGAAGGGAGGGACCTGGACCTCAGGCCTCCTGATTCCCAGACCAGTGTGGTGATTTCAGTAGCCAGCCTCCTCCCTCCAGCAGCCTCTCCGCTCCTAACCCTGTTCCCCACTCCCCGCCATGGAATAGTCCTAGGCCCTCTCCCTTCAAGTCCACAGCGCCAGAAGCCTTCGGGATGATAGAATCATAGACTCAGCACTGGTAAAGTGAGGCATGGCAGCCAGCCTGTCTCCATTGCACAGATAGGAGAACAGGCGGAGAGCAGGAAAGAGCCTCTGTGGTCACTCAGTAACTGGTAAAGGCAAAATTAGAAGTCTGGGATCTTCCCTCCACTGAGAGTGGCGGTTAGGGTTGGGGCCTGGCTACCTTGAGACTCTTCCCTCTGAGTGGTAACTCTGATCCAATCTCCATGTCTCTGGCACCAGTGGGCTGCATATCCTCCCCTTCCTGGCCTCCTGCTCTGGGCTTTGGCACGGAGCACTGTCAGGAGAGTCTCGGGTCATGCCTGCAGCCCTCTGGCTGGCCTTCTGCTACGCAGGAGCTGGGGCTGCACCCGTGACCCCTGGGCTCACCTGACAGCCCCTCTCTGCCAGCCGTAGCTTAGAAGGGATAAAGTTCCTGAGGTAGTGGAAGGGAGAGGGTGCCGCACTCGGGCAGCATCAGCAGCACTGACCTTTGCCTCCCATGGTCGCTCAGCTGTTCTACCGGCTCCAAGGACTCAAACTCCCGAGCCCCACGTCTGGCCTGCTTGGGGGCCCTGCAGACTCTGGGGGTTCAGAGACCAGCCCCAGTCCTCTTCTGCACCGGACACAGGCAGGGCAGGTAAGCGGGGAGGGAGACAGGGGAGCTGGCTGGTGCAGCACTAAGTTAGCACACAAGAAGGCCC